AGGCAAGTCGCTTCTCCGCCGGCACCCTCCGTGTCTGTCGCCTCTTGAGGCACACCGCTGCGGGACTCCATGCCAAGGCACGGTGCGCGGCCCTCACCGGGCTTACCGTTCTGTCTGCACTATATAAACGACAGAGTGCCTTTTAAAACAAACAAACCCGATATCCAAGCAAATACGTTTCCCATTAGTTTTGCAGGACAAACGAAACACCTCCCTGAGCCCGTTTGCTGCTTGTGGATTTGCAGAGCTCTCTGTGGATGTCTGTTAAATCTCTTGATGATGGTAAAAACTTGGAGTTAACAGCTAAACTTTTTTTTTTTTAATCACAGGGTGCAGAAATCACAATGCAAAATAAAGAAAAAAAGTATAAAATTTTATAGAAATATATGACAAGTTTGTAGAAAAAGTAAATAAAATTACACAAAGTAAAAAAAGAAGTTCTTAAGACTGCCTGGAAAAAACACAAGATTTGCAAAGCAGGGTGTGTTGTCTTGGGATGTTGCCGTGCCTTGGATGAGCTGTAAGCAGAAGTCTAAATGCCTCAGTGATTTCACAGCGAGAAATTTCTTGGCTGTTGTATCTGAGCTTAAAGCAATTCTTTTTCAGTGCACAGCTGTTCTATGTCTTTGACTAGGAGGGTAAAAATAGTACTCAGCATTTGTAAAATACTTTTCTGCACAGACACCCACCTCCGTATTCGTAGCACAGCTTGTGAAGTGTTAGTATTACCATTTTACAGGCAAACCCACTCGTGCTCAGGATGACAAATGTGCTTAATTTTTATAATACCCCAGTTACCACAGTTGAGAAGATGACCCTAAAATGGAAGTTTTTCACCTCTAGTTCAGAATACCAGTCCCAAATTCACCATCTCTTTTCGCAGTCTGAACTCTTCTGTGTTGCAGGTATAAGACTGGTTGTTACTTTGCTACCTTTTAACCCACATACACTTTAAAAATCCCAGTTTGCCTGATAAAATGCAGTTTCATTTAGGATGCAGTAGAAGGTTTTATCAGTGTGGAGTCACACAAACAGGACTGAAGAAACAACTGCAGAACTTGAACCTATGTCACATCTAGGAAGATTCAGGTTCATAGAATCATAGGATCAACTAGGTTGGAAAAGACCTTTAAGATCATCAAATCCAACCATTACCCCAGGACTGCCAAGTCCACCACTAAACCATGTCTTGGAGGGCCTCATCTACACATTTTTTGAACACTTTCAGGAATGGTGATTCCACCACTTCCCTGGGAAGCCTGTTCCCATACCTGTGGCAGCTCACACCAGCAGAATTTGAACTTCTCTAGATTTACTGCAAATTTTAATCTTATCTACTGCAACTCACAGCTTCACCTTAAATACCTTCTGAAATTTATAATTAAGAATACTATACATATATATCTTTCTGTCTTTCCTGGTTTTACCTTTTTCTCACTTATTCATAGCCCAACTTTTATGGTTATTAGATAATTCCTCCTGGTGAGTAACCTCATATTTCTCAGACTGTGGGATGAGAAGGCGACTAGCTGAGGACCATGCATTTCAGGACTGTATGATTATTCTGGGGCAGCAACCAGCCTCATATCAAGTGCTTACAAAATGGAAGGTCCCACTCTGGCAGCTGGTTTGAAAGAAGTTTCGTAACTTTTACTGTGGGCTAGAGACTGATATTCCAGCCAAGGATAAGGATCAGCTCTTAAATCTTTGTGGGATAGATTCGGAATTTATTACAGAATTTATCTGAAGGCTGGAGCATAGCTATGCTGCTGCAGAAACACATTTTTCTTTCCTTCTTGCTCTACCAGGGGATTAACCTGCCAATGCCTTTTAGCTTTCTGCCAAGCGTCAGTTTAACTATGAGGACAACTGCATGGGAGAGGGACTTCAGTCCATGTTCTGACCACTTCAACCATTCCTTCTTGAAATTTGTCTCCTCTTCCTATTTCTGTGCATATAAAGAGGAATGAAAACTGTTCATTCCCTTTAATGTCAGATATGAGTAGCCAATAAAATCTTTTCAGCTTCTTCCTGAGACTGAACTATGGATCACAACCTGCATCTTCTTGAGAGAGCATCAACTGATGCACTAGTTAGCTTCTAGTAATTCTTATATCAGAAAGCTATGATGTGCCATGTGGTATGTCAGAACAAGTTAAAAAAAACCCACCAAACTTGAGATATTTTGAAGAAGCAAAGTTGTTAAAAATTTCACAGGCAGTTGTACATGCTTCTCTCAGGGAGAGGCCAGGTATAGGTGCTTAGTCCCCTTCAGCTGTTAATTGAAAGAAAACATTGTATTAAAAACTGGATTTAAAACTGTATTAACCCCTGTTCCCCAATTGCTTTCAAATAGCTTCGTATCAAAAGCTATTTCCATTGTATTCCAGCTTTAGACAATGCTGGAGATGAACCTCAGTATCAAGATCAATTTGGAACACTGGCTGAACCAGTGCAAGGTGATGTTGAGCAGTGTATTCTGACAATCCTTTTCTTCTTTTTCAGCACATTTTCTCATACTTTGACATTCTTTAGGGATAAAAATCATTGAATTTGAATGATTGTCTCACTTGCAGTCCCTGTGTTACTACAGATGGGCTACTAGTGAGACCAAGAGACTGCTTTTGTCCTCCTGGTAAGCAAGTTTCTATGTAGTACAAAGTATTGCTTTAAAATATTTTTCATTTTTCTATTTTGAATCTGCTTTTAGAACATATTCTAAAATTGCCTCCACAGCCTGTTCTAGTGCACGACCATCACATTAATATGAACACCTTAATTTTAATGCTAGAAACCTTTGCAAAAGATGAAAATATTGATCCATACTAGTTTTTCTTTCAATTAGCTCAGACTACTCAATGCCAAATATATACCAATGCTCAAAAACAGCACATAACAAAATCTGTCAGTTTTATCACAATGAAAATACATATGTTTGATGTGTCATGTAGAGGTGATGAGCAGTAATTGCCCTCAGGATACAAGCAGTAGTATAAAAAATCTCCTGCACAGTTGAAATGTGCTTTATTAAATCCAGGAATTAAAGGAGTGTTGGCTGGTCTTTGTGCTGCAGACATTCCCAAATAGTTAGCTCAGGACTTCATAGTGTACAATCCTTTCCACTGAAATTTGAAACCCGTCAAAACATTTGCATTTCTTCAAGTAAAAGATGAACTGCTTTGGGGTAACTTCACTGATTTGTCTTAATATTTGTTTGTTCAGTTTAGGAGAGACTGTCGTAAGTAATGTCAAGCCTTGTTCATCTAAGGTAAGATTTTCAATTCCTTTGCTTAGATAACATAATGAATGTAACTGAATGATTTCTCAGAAAAGCGGCAGATGTTTTGAAACTGTAGATTTCTTTATTCAGAGTAGATAGGAAAACACAGAGGAATCGGGTGTTTCCAGATAGAGAAAAGAAACTACATTGAAACTGTAGGAATTCAGTTAGAATAAGAACATTTCTGTGTTAATGTCCTTTGTCACAGCTCAATTGTTACACTATATTTTTAATCTTATCTGCATGAACAAATGCAGAATAACTATTGTTTTTGTCAGAGTCACAGTTTCTGCTTGAATTGCTGAGGTCAGCTTTAATTACCTGTTTCATGTTGGCTTTTAGTAAAAGTAAATATTGATTAAAAATATTTGCTTGACAGTATTTAATTGAACATGTGGTGAGGAGCTGTGATAAAACCCTGGAACAAAGCAGAGTTCTGAGTGATCTATTTATAAGTTTCAAGTCAATTTTTCTTCCTTTATTCTGTGCTTATTTCAAAATTAAAGAAACACGTTCTTTTAGTTCTCTATCATTTATCTCCAGTCTCAAATTGCAATTACATTAATAATTCAGAACCTTTTTTTTAAATAAAATCTCCTTGTTAACAGTTTTATTTAATTTCTACTTACCTTTGTAAAAGCAGAAGTCAGAAAAAAACCTGTTTAATGCTTTGCCAGTGTAGTGCAAAAACCAGAAAGTGAAACCTGAAGCAGAAAAGGAGAACAAGTATGTTGAAGATACATATTCAAGTCTAAATAAGTTTTCTTTTTCATGAAAATCTTCATGTTTCTAAGGATCCTATTTACACTTGAAAATACAATATGTTAACATACTACAATGCTTTGCTGAGATTATAAAAGCAAGAAAAGAAATTAAAATTAATTTCTTAGTCTTTTGACAATGACACATATCTCAGGAATTACTGTTAGCATTTCTTTAAGTGATGAGTCAGAGGCATTCCCCTTATTTTCTATCACAAGGCACCAGGAAAGAAAAAATATATTAAATATGAAAATATTATTTTAAAAGAACATTAATATGTGTAAATTCTTTTACCAATGCTTTTATTGTTACTCATTCAAATAATTCTGTGCCTGCAAATAGTGTCCCTTTATTCTTTCTTTTATAACAACATTTAAAATATTTTTTTAGATTAGTTTAAGTCCCAGATCTGCTTTGGACTGCTTGTGTGCATAGATTATGCAAGTATTTCCATGATCAGAATCCAGGTAATTAATTTAGGGACTTTCAAGAATGAAAATGTTTTGCTAATATGTAGTAAATCCAAAGGACTGCTCCTTTCCAGTGAAAATAACTTTGTTATCTTTTGAGATGTCTGTTTGGTGTGGTGATTCCTAAAGTGTGAGGTTCTTAAATGCAAGATTTGTGAGTTTTTGCCTCATTTCACAGAGCTCTGGTAGAATACTTTACCAGAAATATTGTTGGTATTTTTCAAATTTGTAGACATTATTCGTCACTCTGAGACTCTTTCTCTAGTGAAGGTATGGCTAAGAAGAAGACACCTAACAGGCCTTGGTCTCAGCTCTGTCAATTTTAACTTGACAAAGCTTTATAAACCCCGGGTTTTGGAGGAAGAGCCATGGAGTAATCTACTTCATTTTGGCAGCCTGAGCTATTTTATATATGCTTTATGATCAATTTATTTCCCCCTCCGTTGTTTGGTACAACAGGGCACAAGGAATGTTGGAGCTGTGGAGGAACCACTCAAGGCAGAAGAGAAAAATAAATCTGCAGATATTTCAAAACAAAAAGACCAATGCCTTGTACCATGTGATGTTCAAGCTAAAATTTTACGAGGGGAAAAACATTACATGTGCCGTATGTATTCATAAAGAATACTCTCAGCAACAAGCTACGCAATGCCATGCTATGCAACCCTCTGCTCTGCTACGCTATGCTGTGCTGATTTATTTTTTAATCTTCTTGAGCACATGTGACAGCCCTTGATGATGCTTTCCAGGCTGAGGATTCAGAAAATTTGGGTGCTGTGTTTCTGGGATGCAGCTGGTGTGAGAAAGTTGAAGTATAATATGCTAGTCTCTATAATCACTGTCCAAGACAGGCAAATCCAGGCAGCAGCTCAGCCCGCCTAGATCTGTGTTACTCTCTGAATGTTAGTAGCTCTCTCCATTAAAGAAGAAGAATAGGGTGTCTGTCCTTCATTTAAACATCATAGTTAGGTGTGGGGGAGTTAAGTGGGAGTTAGTTACTTAGTTACTTAGTTAATTAGTTAAAGTACAAGGTGTTGTGGAAATCTATACTTCAGCTTGCCTTCTGTAGATACTTATGCAGGACATTCTCTATTCACTGCCTTGCCAAACTACACAGCAAATGACATAATTAGCTTCAGAAAAAAAAAAGTTAAAATGATTGTATTTTCTATATGATTTTTCATATATTTTATTAATTACCTGACAGGTTTACTTGTTTTTTGCTTAGATTTTTAGCACCATGACAAAATCCAAGAGCAGCAGAGTGAATGAGTATATGTAGTATGAAAGAAAGACTTATATATTTGTCTTTTATCTTTTGCATTTGTATTTCTGTGGTAGTCATTAACTGGTCATCCAGGTTGCCCAAGCATAAGATTAAATTCTTCAAATCTAAAGAAGAGCATCACTTCTTAAAATGTCTTCCCTGCAACCAGTGAAGCTGAGGTTGTTAACATCTTTGTCTTTAATCTGTGGTCTCTGTACTACTTTGGTTTCACTTAAGTACCCTAATGTTAAACACCTTCAATATTCACTTAGATGTCATAAATAAGTATGTCATCGTTCAGTCAAGAATACTTTTAGATTTATGATAACAAAGTGGATGAACTTTCTTTTAAAGGAAATTTGCAGAACTCACTTGTGGAATATGCAAGAAGTACAAAAAAAATGTTAAGGAACATGATGGATGATCAACAGTCTTCTTTGGACTACCTTTCTAATCAGGTACTTTTGTCTTTATCATAAAGATTTTTATTTATTACTTATCACTACAGGTATTGCCTAACTGAGGAAAATTAAGCATTTATATTGTCATTAAAACTGTAGAATTAGAGTCTCTACCACTATTACTTACATCTTGGGTAGGGTGTGAGTTCCATTTCTCCAGGGAGTGATAAGCACCACGTGGTCCACATTTATGGCTAACTCCAGTTCTGTCATATTTGTACAGATGATGTATTATGTTATTGTTAACTCTCATAGTAGTTTGCAAACACTGTGTATCAGTCACTACAGATAAAAGCCTTATTCTTTTTAGGCAGAGAGGCAGAAAGATATCTAAACTAAAGGAGATTTTTGCAATTATCTGGAATTGTGCCTAAAATGATTTTGGATGAAAAAACTAAAAAGTCAGACCATTGTACCTAGTGAAGGTACAAGTCACTAACACATCACAAAAATGAACTTTGGATTATGTTTACTAGGAGTGAAAAAGAATATCTTTAAGAATGTAAAATTCCTCACTGCAACCTAAGTAAAGATTTTGTATTTGCAGGTGAATGAAGTAATGAACAGACTTTTACTTTTGAATGCAGAAGTTTTGAGAAAGCATTTGGATCCACTTCCTTACAAAGCAGTTCAGTCTCATGGTAGGTATATTTTGCATTTAGTCGTGATCTCTTGCTTTTTTATCTTTTTATCTTGACAGAGAGCTAATTGAAGCAAAGGGAAACAATAACATTTACGGTAATCTGTGTTCGTAACATATAAACCCTGGAAAATTTGTGATCTGTTTGAGAAGGTCATCATAAAGACTGTTTTAAATCATTTACAATTGATAATTCTGGGCATCCTGTTTTTCTGCAAAATACCAAGTATGACCATCAGTTTGTAAGTGATCTGATCAGTTTATAAGTGATTTTCTTGTGAGACCTCACTTGCAGTATTGTGTACAGTTCCGGTGTCCTCATCGTAAAAAGGACATGGAGCTGTTGGAGCAAGTCCAGAGGAGGGCCACGAGGATGATAACAGGACTGGAGCACCTCCTGTATGAAGACAGGCTGAGAAAGTTGGGGCTGTTCAGCCTGGAGAAGAGAAGGCTGCGTGGAGACCTCAGAGCAGCCTTCCAGTATCTGAAGGGGGCCTACAAGGATGCTGGGGAGGGACTCTTCATTAGGCACTGTAGTGGTAGCACAAGGGGTAATGGCTTTAAACTTAAACAGAGGAAGTTTAGATTAGATATAAGGGAGACGTTCTTTACAGTGAAGGTGGTGAGGCACTGGAACAGGTTTACCAAGGAAGTTGTGAATGCTCCAACTCTGGCGGTGTTCAAGGCCAGATTGGACAGAGCCTTGGGCGACATCATCTAGTGTGTGGTGTCCCTGCTTATGGCAGGGGGTTTGGAACTAGATGATCTTAAGGTCCTTTCCAACCCAAACTATTCTGTAATTCTATGATTCTATGATATTGCTAAATGGCACTTCCTTTTGCAATGAAATGTGCTCTGCGTTTCTAATATCCTTTAAATGTGATGGAAGTTACTTGTATACGGGGCAGTTAATCTTCGTAGTGTCCATCCCAGCTAAAGGAAACAGTATCTCTTAGCAGTCCCACTGGCCATAGGAACTGCTTGTTTGAGTATGTTTAACAGACCTGGCTTAACACTCAGAAGAAATGGGTTTATAATGTACACATTGTTATGTAAGGTCTTTTACAAGTATAAATACAAATATCTGCAGGAAAAAGACATCTTTTCCCTTTTCTCGGTACAAGTGTTACCCAAATAATATCTATAAAATGACCCAGGTACAAAATCTTTAATTTCTGTGTCATATTCATAAAGATTAGGATGAATTTTATTTTTTCAATATAATTTATACTTCTTTCTGGGCTTAATAAAGTTCAGAGAATTTCCATTTACAAGGTAAAATTGTAAGAAAACATGATTTTAAATTTTGCATGACAAGAAAATGATATTTGAAATCATTCATACATTACCAAGAAAGTACTATTTCTGTGTTTAACCTGTATTTGTTTGCGTTTGGTTTATTTTAACGTATTTTGCTAATGAACTTCATCAAATGCTTTGTTCTCTAGGGTTGGATTGCACTGATATTAAAGATACTGTTGGTTCAGTTTCAAAAACTCCAACTGGCCTGTACATTATCCATCCAGAAGGATCAAATTATCCTTTTGAGGTAATAAATTCATCTCTCAGGATAGTCACAAGTTGCTTGAGAATATGCACTTAGAATGTATTTAACAGATTTAAAGTCTTTTCATTGACAATTTATCAGCAGATGAATAAGAAATATATTAAATCATCTAAATTTGTCTATTACTATAATTCTCACGAGTTTCTTACTTTCTACAAAGAAATTTAATTTCTGTCATAAGATCCCACCATCAGTTTTTATATACAGTGAAAAATGTACTGAAGAGGAAAACCCAAGGTATTTCCTAGCACCCCTTTGGACATCGAGAAGCGCAGTTATTTTCTTTTTTAGAGATGGAAAACTGAGGAGCCAAGTGACTGTTCCACTTGGCTCCTAAAATGGGACCTTTGGCTTTTTGAATTGCTCTGCTGAATTACTTCTGCATTGCCTTCTCTTGAGAGGTGACACTGCTGATGCCTGTAGCTTGGACCACAATATTGTATAGGCATCTAAATATAGGGGCAGATGTACATTAATTTGAGGAGTAGGTGCTTGTCTCTTGCCTAAGCATCGTAACTCAGACTTGAGGCAGAGAGGTATCTAAACTTTCAGTTTTCAAATCCGGTTTGCAGGATATATATTCTTAAAACAAAGATGAAAGGATGAGATTCAGCGGGAACTGCAGCAGTCATGCTTCCTATCACCACCTACATTTTCTGTAATTTCTTTGAGTCATAGTGCTTATTTAGGAGAACAGAGTTTTTGGTTAACTTCCCCAGGCTCAGACCATTCAGATCCACGCAAACACAGAGAATCCTTTGTTTTGTCTGTTTCTTTCTATTTTGTGCTGTTCTACTTACAGAAGCCCCTATCACAGTGGAAAGACACTTATGCACTCTCAAGCCTTTAATTTCACAACACGTGCTAGGGTCATTAGTTTTTGGAGAAAAAACGTGGAGTTTAGGCCAGCTAATAAATAGCAAAATTTAATATCTAACTTTATAGCCTTTATATATAACAAAGGAAGGATGAGTCCCTTTATGTCTAGCCAACTGGAACCCTACAGAATGCTACAAAACCCCTCCTTTCACTTCAAAAGTATTTTTGACACTTTGCCACGTTCAAATTTACTGCCAGAATCTGAGAATCAGTTATATGAGTGGAAAGGTTCCTTAAGGAGAAGAAGGAACAAAAAGGAAAATCACATTAATTTGATTAAAAGCACAAGGTAACAATAAATAATGAGAAGAAACGTCTGCACTCATGAAATGAGTGTCTAATTTCTTGTCTGGTAGATGTTACACAGAACTGAAAAGGTAGTGCCAAAAAGTTCTGAGGGAAAACCATCTAAAATATGTGTGTTAGAATCATAGAATAGTTAGGGTTGGAAAGGACCTTAAGATCATCTAGTTCCAACCCCCCTGCCATGAGCAGGGACAACACACACTAAACTATGTTGCCCAAGGCTCTGTCCAACCTGGCCTTGAACACCACCAGAGTTGGAGCATTCACAACTTCCTTGGTAAACCTGTTCCAGTGCCTCACCACCCTCACCGTAAAGAACTTCTTCCTTATATCTAATCTAAACTTCCCCTGTTTAAGTTTAAAGCCATTACCCCTTGTGCTACCACTACAGTCCCTAACAAAGAGTCCCTCCCCAACATCCTTATAGGCCCCCTTCAGATACTGGAAGGCTGCTCTGAGGTCTCCACGCAGCCTTCTCTTCTCCAGGCTGAACAGCCCCAACTTTCTCAGCCTGTCTTCATTCGGGAGGTGTTCCAGCCCTCTTATCATCCTCGTGGCCCTCCTCTGGACTTGCTCCAACAGCTCCATGTCCTTTTTATGTTGAGGACACCAGAACTGTACACAATTCTCCAATTGAGGCCGCACAAGAGCAGAGTAGAGGGGCAGGATCACCTCCTTTGACCTGCTGGTCATGCTTCTTTGGATACAGCCCAGGGTACGGTTGGCTTTCTGGGCTGCAAATGCACACTGCCTGCTCATGTCGTTTCTCATCAACCAGTGTTCCATAAACAGTGTTATTTCAAGGAAAACTCTTTAATGCAAATTCTTCCATGTGTTGAAGCATACTAAAGGTACAAGAGAAATGATAAATGAACAAAAAATTTCAAGACATTAAAACACAAACAAGGAATTGCAATGCATTTTAAGGGGTGAATAGCCAAGACTTCTGGAAGTTCTGCAGACTAGCAAAATAAGAAAAATACGGAGAGACAGAAAACCATGGTAAGAACCTAAAATCCTGGAAAAAAATTGTGTGGGAAAGAAAAATATTTCAATGAGGACCTTGTCAGTGATAAGATGCCTTTAAATGTAAACTGGCCCAAATGTCTTTAGAATAATTTGCATAAATATACCAGATAATGAAGAAAAATATTTAGACGACTTGATACTGTTCTTATGTTTCAATGTTTGAAACCTAATGTTTTCAAAAGTAAGTATATATTCTGATGGTTAATTCAGGCTAATTAAAACTTCCAGGAGCTCTAAGAAAATCCAGTTTCAGTGGTAGTGGCAGGTTCTTGTCATCTCAGAAAATTAGTCCCAAATGGGCTTTTGTCTGAGCATTCAAGCATGGGGCAATTAAAACCATTTTCACTTCTGGAAAACTGAATCCCAATCACTTCCTGATACAAAAACCAGTTGTTTAGAGTATACACACACTAAAGATGGAAAGGGAGGAAATATTCAGTAGCAGCATCCTCCTGCTCATTTAATTTAAATGGTACCCAGCGTAGTCATGCCCCTCATACCTTACACGGTATGAGACCTAGAACAAGCTTTAAAGTGTATTAGCAATTACAAGGCTTAAAGAAAGAAAATTACATTATTTCCAGCATACGAAAGATTAAGAAACTACACAGCAATCACTGTTGTTTGTATATCTATCTCATATTTTTACTTAGCTGGTGTGTGTTCCGGTGCCATATCTAATTGGCTGATAACTTCTCATGAAAACCCAAATCTGCTCCTTCTGTTAATTATCAACACTCCCACTGGTTTATATTGGACTGAAGATAGATGTTGTGACCAAGTGGGCTCTTCTTGCATCTCCGGCTCACAGTGAGAGTAGTCAAGCATGCAATCACCTTCTCTAGACAGCAGATGAGGCAATGGGATTATTTTTGATGAGTTTTAGGTATTTACATTTAAATATTCATTTTGGAATCTTCTTTATTTCTTTTTATTCCAGTTCCACCCTCCTTGGGTGACTGAAATAATCATGACATTCTCCAGGGAATAACACCCATCATTTTCTTTCATGCACATGACTTACTATGATTCATTCAGAATTTGTGTTGCAAGGATTACTTAAAGCATCTGATAGCATTGACTTACTTGAAGATCCAAGATTCCCCAAGTTGTATTAGATCACAATTGCAGCTTTCCTGTTGCTTTCTCATCATTCATAAGAAGATGCTGCTAAGTCACAGCAGTTCTGAGTATGACGTTGTTCCTGCCAAGGAACAAGTTCCGGTTTCATGAAAAATATCTGGCTGGTACAGGCCATGGGGGTGCAACAGATAAGGCTCAGACTGCCACTGAATTCCACCTAGACTCTACTTTTAGCAACCAGCTAAGATTGCAAATCTGTCTTCTCTGAAACATGTTTCATCATGCACTTTCTGTGTAACATGAACAAAAAGTTCCTACTTTACTCCATCTCTTGTGCATCTGCTTACTATTACAATTTACTGATAGCCAATATTCTATTCTGAATTGTTATCACAAGTAGCTTAATGGCTCCATACCTATAAGCATTTTCCAGGTTACTTGTCCTGATATTAATCATATTGGGAGACACTTACAAATGAGCCTCTCATTTTAAACACTAATTAAGCATAGTATGCCCTAGAACTAGTTGGAACAGCTTAGGTGGTGGTGTCTAAATGTGCAATATACACCTTTCTACATTAGGATGCCCAGACTTTTTAATCCCTGCTAGACTGGTCAAGCTCTGGCACTGGGGACATACTTGAAAAATACCCAGAGTGACCTGGATACATTCCATGTAACTTTAGGCACTTAGCTGGAATCCCTAAAGAGCAGTGAAGGGTCTAGGAGCCCTTTCTGTAGACAGTGGAGGTGACCAACACCTGAAGACCGTGATTTAGATCTTGGTTTACCAGAGCCATGCTGTGAATGCACATTTCTCTCTATAAGGGGGGTTACAGGGGAGATGAGGTCAATAAGATTCCTAACTTAAGGAACTCAAGTTATGTAAGGTTAAATGGGTTGTGGGGAAAATGTACCACATAAAGTGATACTCCACAGCAGAGCAGAAGGCAGCTGGACCACTGCCTTTTGATGTGATTTTGGGCACAAATTTTAGCAAAAACTCATAAAGACTCATAAATTTGGCAGTTGATTTTATGTATTCAGGGGGACTGCTCAATTGCAGACTGTTAAATGTTCATGTTGGGACTTCCCTGAATTGAGGCCCCTTCTTATGTAGAGTTTTCTTGCTGCTCCATCATAAATTATTATATATTGGGTTACTACTATCACTTTTTCCATTTCCTCACCTTTATAAAGGGTTCTACATTTCCCAGGCATCACAAACACAGTATTTCTGGGGAAGATGGTATGATGGTGAGGAAATTGTGTCTATTTTGCTTTGCTGAAATAAATGTATATTCAGTGTTAGTGCCTGTATCTGGTATATTTTGGACAATTAATACTTGACAATGAATGTTGCTTCTACTTCATGATATTATTAATATACTATAACATTTATCAATGCTTATTTATTATATAAGATATAAGCAGACATTTGTATAAAACAGTTGCTACTGGTTGAGGAAATATCCAAATCAAGCAGTCCAACAAAAACATATAACAAAACACTGCAGCTTAATTTTTTATTTTCTTTGAGCATTTTGCTAAGATATTTGAAAGGTGTGTTGCTCCACAAAAGTCTGAATTGCTCACCTTTATTTAATTAAACTGTTTTCATAACAGCTGCTTCAAGAATGCTTAATCATATTTATGTCTATTTTAGGTTTTGTGTGACATGGATTTTCAAGGAGGTGGATGGACTGTGGTTCAGAAAAGAACTGATGGAATCATTCCGTTCCAGAGAACATGGTCTGAATATCTGGATGGATTTGGTGACCTGTCTGGTATTAATTTTAAATACTCTTACGTTTTGCACCTGATATTTCTGCTATCTTTGTGTCACCATGTACCACTAAACTGTGCGGGATTTTTACTGTATAGAGTAAAGTTCTTTCTTAAGAGTCTTATTTATACTTAAGAAGTTTCTTTAATCAAATCTCTTGTGTATTCTTCTCAGTAATGAATATCACCCTACTAGAGTCTTTAGCCATTGCTCATTTTTAGTCTCACAAGAGGTGTTTAAAATGTTATATTTTCTTCCTGAAATAATGTAAAAATTACATTTCCCCCTCCCCTTTTTTTTAGATTAAAAAAACCCCAAGCCCTAGTTGGTTTTAATCACATTTGTTCCATATTTTCTTAAAGCAGGAAGAAATCATTACTATTTCAACACAGGGCATGTGAAGTTAGAAACAGAATGGAAATATTTCAGAAGCTAATATCAACACAACTGTGATATTAATTTTTTACTGACATCTTCCATCCAGCAAGTCTAAACTGAGTTGCTTTTTCAGGAGTTTATCTGGGATTGCAGTGGAAGCACACAACTTTCCAACTATACAAAAAAGCACAGCTCATATCGGGGAAACCTTTCATGGAAAACAGTGTGAATTACAGAGGCAGTAGACCTCGAGAAAAGGGTTTGAGTTTTGTTGCATTTCACAGAATGCTAACATTCATCAGTTCTCAGTATTACTCTTAGGAATGCTACTGAATTCTGTTTAATCAAGTGGATCTTTAGCACATGTAGGTTTTGTGGTCTTCTAAGATAGATTGGAGATGAATGCTTGAAAGTTATCATGTGGGCAATTTTCTAAATATGTCACACAGAAAAAAGATGATATGCACATGGGAATTCTTTCCATGGATTTCCCATTGAAGTAGGAAGATTACTTTGTACCTTCATTAATCTTTCAAAGAAATGTGTGTATCATTCAACTTTTATTACGCTTGATTCAGGAAGGAAAGCAGAAGAACTAGAAGAATCCATTTTTTCTTTTACATTTTCCATTTCTAGAAGTTTATTGACTATATTATATTTCTGGTTTAGGGGAGTTTTGGCTTGGATTGAGGAAGATTTTTTACATAGTAAATCAAAAAGCCACTAGTTTCCGTCTTTATGTGGATTTGGAATCAGAAAATGACAAGCATGCCTATGCATCATACGATGGATTTTGGATAGAGGATGAAGCATGTTCTTTTAAGATCCATTTGGGGCGTTATTCAGGAAATGCTGGTAAGAACCTCCTTCTTTAAAGTATTTAAAGATAGCTGCTCCCTTTCTTAATGTGAAAAAATGCATTCAAAAGAGTAATAATTAAGATAACTTTTAAAATATGTATGTCTAATCTGTTTTTCTCTATGGTGCATAATGAATACTATGCAGATAAATGGTTGATGATGTATGAACTGGTTATGCCAACATCAATCTTTACATAGTGAGAAATCATTTTATTCTATTGCTTCAAGGTCTTTAATGAAATAATTGAATAAACACTCCTTTAATAAATAAAATGAATAAAGAAAATAAAGGAACTCTAATGGATTCAAGTCAACAGAATATGCGTATAATAGATAAGGGATTTTATGTGTGTTTGTGTGTATCTCACTAATGGTCCAATTCTTTAGCTGTCCATTTTCCCATCCCAAATATGTTGATGTTAGTGGAAGTCTTCCTGATGTTATTGCTTTGGTTAGTTCAGCAGTGCCCATACAGTGGCATACGAAGTATAAAGAAACTGACTGGAACAAAATAGGCCTATAGTATGTAACAGTTACTGACTGATACAGAAACACACACTAACTCACAATTCCACACACACCCCCTTAATATAAATAAATAATATAAATAATATAAACAATATAAATAACACCAAAAGTGCAAAGATTTAAGTATTGCACCATGTCTTACTGATCTTTTCTTTTTTTTTTTTTTACCATGTTTACTTGTATGCAATAATGTTCCTTATGACCAATGTAATAGTTATTCTATAAATGTGTTGGTGCTTTACTCTGCCTGTATTTGTTTCTTTTGTAAGACAAGGGAACCGGTAATCACTGACCTTTGTGTTTTAACGATTCCATTTGACCCCATGTCTCATGCTGGGGTTTTGGGCATGTCACTGGACAATCTGAAGTTAATAACCCTTTAGCCCTCTTCATTTCCTTTATCTTTTCTTCCGCTGTCTTTAAGGACAGAAGCCTTTACCTTCATAGCTGCCATGTGTCACTAAAAGCAACAACAATATACAGATGTTTAATTGAATTTCAATTTCTTTCATACTTCTCAGTATTTTATACATTTTCTTTCCTACATTTTAACACACTGCCAGCTCATTACTTGATACTCTTGAACTGCTTTTGAAGAAATCTCTTTTTCTCTTAAATGCAGAGGAAAAATTTGTGATGTATGCAACAAGTAAGAAATGCTTCTCCATAAATAACTCTTCCTTTTATCCTTCTGTTTTATCTGTGGTACTTAGGTGATGCATTTAGAGGATACAGAAAAGAAGATAACCAGAATTCAATGCCTTTCAGCACATTAGATGTTGATAATGATGGATGCAGGCCAATGTGCACTATTAAAGAAGAGCCTGTAAAGAGCTGCAGTAACTTCAGTGATAACACTGGCTGGTGGTTCAACCAATGTGGCCTTGCAAACCTTAATGGTGTTCATCGCTACACAGGTAGATATGTTGCAACTGGGATTCACTGGGATACATGGACAATGAACAGCAAGCCAACCAAAATTAAATCAGTTTCAATGAAAATTCGGAGAACTTATAATCCGTATTTCCATTAGCCTATGAAAATAGAAATACATCTCTTCTTGCAGTTATGTGGGATAATGTATCACTGCATTATGAATGCCTTTCATTTTCACTCCAACAGTACAATCTTAAACTTTATTAGATATTTTCATAATACAGTTACTTATTTTTGTTATGAAATGACAGCGTTTGTTGTGTTCCTACTTAAGTAAGAAGGTCTTAAGAAGAATAGGATTTTCAGAAAATTATGAACTTTGGAATTTGTCAGCTTTTATTCAACTTCCTCTTATGCAGTCTCAGTGTTAGCAGAAAAATTATGAAAGGGAGTGTCATGCTGACTTTTGAAGATGTTTTTTCTATGTTCTCTGCATATCTGAACTGACAAAAAAAGAAGTAGATTTTCTTTTAAAAAGCCATATATCTCTTTCTTATCACTATATTTTGGAAGAATACCTTTTCTTACTGTAGCTGAATTTTCCATAATCGGCTCTTCTTTCTGTATTACTTATCAGTCAAGATAACACTGTCTTGTTTCAACACATATGTAAGGTTCTGTATACTCTCAGGGCCTGATTTTCATACAGGTAAGGTAGATACTTACGTAAAAGAACTATGATCTGGTTTGTGTATAATTTTCACAGTCAATGTGTTTCATAATCAGATTTTTACTCTACCATTGTCTTTTTCACAATTCACTACAAATGAACACTTGTATTCCTGAAGAAAATGCATAACATTTCACATACCATTTGGAGTTTTAATTTTTGGGTATATAGGCCTGATCTTATGTTTTTCATTCTCATTGGTATTCACTTTGTGAACAATAATATGGTAATGAACAAAACCAATTTGATTTGCATAAATACATTTTAAATTGTGTGAATTGTTTGAATTTCTGACAGTAAAAATGGAATAATATCAATAAAAAGTGTGAACATTGTCAGTACAGCAATGTTTCTGGAACCTGACGTATGTTCTGTAGCAACTAGGCATGGTATTTCTCATCTCTGCTTCAGTTTCAGTAGATCAGCTCCGTAGTAACATGGAATGAAATCAGTTAGAAACTCTATGGGTTTCCTCTGAAACCATCATCAGTTCAGAGCCATCATGTTTTAGAACTTCTTTCCAAAGATGTGTGTAGTTACAGGAGGAAATGAAGCTTTTGATAGTGTACGTTCCAAGGTTAAGGGAAATAATTAATCTTTTCTTCTATGCTTGAGTAACCAACAGTTGGAGGTAAAAAGTTGATATATTTCTCTCTGATAGAGAGAAACTAAGGATTATCCTCATAGGGGGGACTGATGCTAGAAGCATGGTAGGAAGTAGCCTGAGGAAAAATATCACAGGCCCTGTAGAGGGATTGTGAGAGAGGGGGTAGCTAATGCTCTTGGGGGAGACTGAATTCTCTGAGCACAGGGAGGTTTTGTCGTCAAACCCTGTAGTCTTTGTAATTAGAAGCAGAGAGATAGTATATACCCCCTCTTTAGCCCTCCCTTTCACTCCAGGCTTATTAGGAATGCAGTTCCTTGTACCAGCAACATGGACCCAGCAGATCTATAAAGGTAGATAGTAAAATGAAAGAGCTTCTGCACTGAGGTTAACAAGCATTAGAGTAGTATGTGACTGTTTAAAGGGCATTAATTCTGGCTGCGATCCTGGATGTTGTCACTGTATTGACTACTATGTCAGAAAGAGTCCCCAGGCTGCAGTACAACAATCCTAGTGGAGAATGCCAGTGGCTAAATTTCACAGAAAATTAACAGCTTTGATGAAAGCCTCAAACTTTGATGTTGGGACCTCTGCTCTGACACCAGGTCCAAGGCTGTGAGGACAAAGGAAAAGTCCAAGCAGGCAATCTGGATGCTGATTGTAGAGCTAGATTCTACTGACACCCAGAGGATCCTTTTGGCTTCATTAAAATTCCTGCTTAAAAGTGAATGTGAAAAATGAAGATTGTAGGTCTGTGCTGGCCTCTATTACCACATTTAATTACTAGGTTCAATCTGTCTTTTGTCAGCATTGGTTTAAGTAGCTGGCAGTAACAAATCACAGAGGAGATGAGCCTGAAGAGATAACTAAAGCTTGAAGAATCATTCTTTCAAATTGACTTTGGATCTTAAAGTCAAATCAAATGATAAACCCATACAAAACATGAATTGATTTCTTCGTATCAGTGCTGGGAGGGTAAGATTTGAATATTTTTCCTTGGAAGATAAAAACATTTCCAAGGCTATTTGCAGAGATCTCTTTGAACTCAACACATATGTTTCAATATCATTAAGTACTGTTCTACCAGCAAGGTCACAGGTAGATATGGTGTTCTCTGTGGCTTAGAGTTTATTCCCTTTGAAGATAAAATTAATTCATTTTGCCCTAGGTTGGATTTGTGTCTTTGCTGTGCTGTGGGAGCTGGATTTGCAGTGTAAACTGCAAACAGAATGAAGTCCAAATTGCAGCTACTAGGCAGGTTTTAACTCCTTTAAATCATCCAGGTATGAGTTTTCAATACAGTGGCCTTGAGCAAAAAATGGACAATGCTTTCATCCTTTCTCAGATCAGAAACAGTAAATAAAAATAGAGATTGTTATGAATTTCTCCTCCTATTTGCCATATTACCTACTAGTCATAATTACACTTAGTGCTTCTGTGGCACCAAACCAAGTAATTAGATAATAATTAATATCATGTAATGATTTTATTTCCTTTCATGAAGTCTAGCAGCTGAGAGGATCTGAATAAGGTTTCTATGAAAAGCTTTTGAGGATGGGAATCTCATAGTATTATTTATCATCCTTTGAATGTTCTGAAATGTGAGTATTGGTATAGTCTGCTTTTGTTTAAAAATCTGGGATATGCTTAGGAAAGCAGAGTGCTACAAATTAGTTGGCAGCTTGGCAATAGACAATAGAGCATTTTCATATGACAGATGGCTACTGTCTTCAAAGGTTCATTCTATTTCCTCTCTAAGAATAAACCAACTGTGAAAACAAACAGTTTTTTTACTTAAACAGGGAATTTACAAGGGCATTAAGATGATTCCAGCGGCCTATATTCCACATTTACAGTTAAAGGTTCCCAGCCACCATAAGTTATTTATGGCCATATAGTTAGGGTAGGTAATCAGCCAGTTTTATTGCCCAAACAGTCTTTTTTGAACTAAATAAAAAGGAATATGTAAGGTGTAGAATATTAAGAGAAAGTGATTGAGCGTTCCAAATAAAAAGTAGCTTGGTTTAACTACGCTTAATATCTGTTCCAGGAATGATACTCCAGACTGTGAAAAATAGGCTTTAAAGGACACGTAATTTCTGATGTTATGAAACTGCATTTCTTTCTTTTATTTTCTTTTCCCCAGAAAAATATGTCTTCAATTTGTAAATCTCAGCTTGGTGAACTCAAATTATTTGACCCAGTTTATGATGCTACAGTAATATAAATAAATGACAACATGGTTTCCACAGCCTGAGTAGTGCTGACGTGGCAGTGCAGGGTTCAGTGTACTAGACATCTGGAAATAACGAAACAGTGCAACTAAAGGCATTTTACTTTCCACTTGGAAAATCTTTAATTGGGCACTAAAAGGTCCTCTGAACTTCTTAGGTTACTTCTTTCTTTTTTTATTTAAAACTATAATCAGCCACATTTCATTAACATGAAAAAAACATTTTAGTTTCATTACTGATCCCTGTTATGGAATGTATTAATGAAAAAATACTCTTACAATACATTGTATTGATACTTCACTACAAAATAGTTTGTTCATGTGCATTATACAGTACTCCAAGTTGTAAGTAGGAAGTTTTGATTCATAGCCTGATTCTAAATTTAAGTTGGTTGCATGCAACAGTTTCCGTAAGTCTTCCCAATTATTTAGGGATTACTGGTGTAATGCACAGTTAACAGGCAATTATTTAAATTACTGCAAATGTTGGCAGCATGATCATTGACAAGATGATGCTGCAACCTGAAAAATGTGACACCAAGAAGTACTTATGGATGCACCCAGCAGGTTACAGCAGAGTCCACAGCTCCACTGTCAATGTGCAATGTTATATGAAGCACAAAGCTGTATGAAGAAGTTTCTGAGTCTGAAGGAATGTCTGCTTTTCCTTCTTCCCTTCTGATATATAAAAGATAAAACACTAAATACAGTAACATGGTAAAGTTCCCTTTAGCCTCATTCAGGTCTCTGTAGAATCCTTTGAATGGAATCTGAGGTGGTTTTAATGGAAATATTAGCTTATCAGGATGCAGAGCTCAACAGGAACTCAACATTGTAGTGAGCAAGGAAGAATGAGAGGTGAGGTGAGACTTGGCCTATAGTTTATCATGTAAATGACTGCATTTTGAAGACAAGAAAGAAAAAGTAATGGCAGATGAATAAAATTCAAGATCTCCCACTGCTGCTTGTTTTGAATGTCCAAGCCCACAATTCAATCATAGACAGAATCATAGAATACCAGGTTGAAGGGACCACACGGACCCTTTGACCAAGCTATACTTTTCATGAAAGTTCTAACTATCAGTTACATGTAGTTCATGATGTAAATGCCCACAGCTTCATCTGGGGACTCTGTTGAGTAATTAGTCTGTGTACAGCAGGTTAATTTTCCTGCTTACTTGAAAGTGTACAAATTAAGCCCATAGGTAGCCTAATAAGCATGGGGTCTCATTCTTCTTGACCAAGATTGCTGGATGATCCAAGAAAACAGAGATAGTTCTGACTTGTCCTCATCCTCAGAGCAAACAGTGATCTTGTTTCGTACAAGTCATCCAGAAATATCAGTCCTAACAAGTACTGTTTTTTATCAGCTGTTATCTTAATGGAAAACTAAATAGGGGCTCCTTGTGATTCCTGTGCTCAGATGATCTTCCTGGGTCTGTTTAAGGGACTAGACTACATTGAGACTTAAACAAGCAAAGCGAAAAATCTTATATGCCTAAGAATATTTGTGTGTGTGCAAACATGGTGTTGCATATATTTTGATATTTTAACATGTATTTTCTGGAATGTTTACTATAATCGTTATTCACTCTAATCTCTTCTAGTAATATTTAGTCATAGTACACGCAAAGAACGTTTAGACAGGAGAAAAATCGCAAAAATAATGAGGATTCACCTAATCCGTATCCTGGAGGCCAGGGGAACTGGGGTGAAACAGGACAGTGAGAACATCTGACGTGACCGCAGCCCCAGCTCAAGAGGCTGTGTCCCAGCATACACAGGAGTGACAGAGGGCTCTTGGCGTTGGCTGTTTTCCTCACAGGCCTCAGCTGTGGAGTTTCTCCACCCCACTGCATTTAACAGGGGTGAAAAGCAACAGCCATTTTTGTGAGCAGCCAAGGGCTGAGATTTCGATCAGGCCTGGATATCAAGTGTGAAGTGTCAGCAGATAGAAAATAGGTGGTGGCAGTGCCCCAGGGTATGGAATGGTGGTGGTGGTGTCCCAGGGAATAGAATCTTAGTGATGGCAGTTTCTGAAGTGCTCAGAATGCTGCTGGCTGGGCACTGTCCCAGGGGATGGAATGTTGGTGGTGGCAGTGTCCCAGGGGATGG